GTCGAAAGCCAGGAGGACCTCATTGCTGGGGCGTCAGTCAATAGACGCCTTAATGAGGATCCTGCAATCAAAGGCTGGTCAAATGAAGTGCATGTACTGGTCACTGTCAACTGATTGCAAAAGGCTTGTCATACAGTGTGGAGTCCCAGGCCTTTCAAGTCTAAAGTCTAAAGTCTGCAGTCCACAAAATAGTGTACTCTGGAGTGGAGAAGATAGGAGCTCTTTGCCAGGAGGTGATCAAGCTGCCCTTCGCTGGAGACCTGTATGAGACTGGCCAAGCATTTGCTCAGCTGGGAAACAGTCCAGTACTCTCGAGACGTGAATATGCCATTGACATATGCCATGTCCGCATCAAGACCCCCCCAGGACCCAATGGCAAGGATAACCTCAACAGAAAGCTCTTCCAATACATTCAACTGCAGGCAGTTTTTATTGGGAAGTGCTTCTTCCTAAACACCTTTGGGGGGTATCCTAGCCAAGACCCCAACACCATAGTCTTGAAGAACAGAGGCTCTGCATTCTCCCTCAGGTGAGAAGTAAGTTAACATGGCACTATTTCTAAATAACTGTACCGTATTTTCCGCACTATAAGGCGCACTTAAAAGCCTTTAATTTTCTCAAAAAACGACAGTGCGCCTTATAATCTGGAGCGCCTTATTTATGGATCAATTGGTTAATTGGCTGATCCATACTGGTTGTACACGGCGCTCAGCGACACTGACTCGGATAATGACGAGAGGGAGCCGGGCATGTTGGATGCCGTACTCGCCCAACTGTTCAATTCGGACACTGAAGAAGAAGAATTTGAGGGATTCGTGGACGGGGAATGAACTGAAAAAGTGAGCTTTACATGTTATACGTAACTGAACAATGTTGAGTTATGCACTAACGCAGGGGTGCCCAACCTTTTTTGAACCAAGATCTACCAAGATCTACCAGTCCACATAGTGAGCCATAGCCTTTACCAACAGCCTACAAACGCATTTAATATTCACACAACAAACAGAAAATAATAAATGAGAGTTCTGTAAAAAATAATGCAGACTACAGACTACAGCAGGCTGCTGTGAGATGATTTTGCTTTTGTTAAATTAGCTGCAGACACGGTGAGAGTGAACGGAGTAAAGTCCAACCGACTGTTGACCGGGTCACGTGTGTTCCCACCTCGGTCAGTACGGATCACGGATCAACTGTGTGTGTGTGTGTGTGTGTGTGTGTGTGTGTGTGTGTGTGTGTGTGTGTGTGTGTGTGTGTGTGTGTTTGTTGTGTCTCGTCCCCCACGATGCTCACAGTCATGACAGCAGAGAGGAGCAGAGAAAAGTAGCTGCAGCTTCATCAAATGCGCTTAATACTCGTAGCATAGTTTCTATATATGACTTTTTGGTAAAACATTTACCCCCCCCGGTTTTACCTGCACGTCATTGCGCATGCCTGCACTCTCTCTTGCGCGCGCTCTCTCTCTCTCTCGCTCCCCCGCTCGCTCTCTCATGCACGCAGCAATTTCATAAATAAATTAAAAATTAAATACACACAGGTCAGAAGTATACTTGGGCTCCCGACACAGGTATCGTGTGTGGGAAACAGTGCAATGAGATGAAATTGAAATCACTTTTCTATTTTACAATTGTATTTCATATTGACAAAACATCTCGCGATCGACTGAGAATCAGTCAGCGATCTACCTGTCGATCGCGATTGACTGTTTGGGCACCCCTGCACTAACGTTTGAATTAGCGGTATCAGACTGTGTTTCTTTTACGTGTTTACAACTGAACAAGGCTGGGAGATATTGTGAATATGCACATTAACGTTTGAACAACGTTGAGTTATTGTGAATGCACTACGTATAAAACTACGTTTTGAGAGTTCAGAGAAACGTCAAAGAAATAATTTATTATTTGGGGAAATCGTCTTATGTACTTTTGTTTTTGTAGTTTTATACGTTACGTTTTATACGTATTTATATTTATATATTCACAATATCTCCCAGCCTTGTTCAGTTGTAAACACGTTCTATTCTATGCGTCTTATAATCCGGTGTGCCCTATATATGAAAACAGTTCTAAAATAGGCCATTCATTGAAGGTGCGCCTTATAATCCGGTGCGCCTTATAGTGCGGAAAATACGGTACATATATTAATTGATTGCTGCTTTCCCTCTCTTTGCAGGATACTTTATTGTGGGTGATATTGGCTTTTTCATATGCTTACAAAGTTGACTTGCAACCAACTAAAGGGTTTAAAATGATTGGTGTATAGCTAGAAATGATTTTGATCATTGCAACACATTTTCCTTTTACAAAATTGGCATCTGGTCTTTACAGATATGAACAGAGATGTGAATTCACTTAAATCCTTGACACTTCAATCGATCACTCTGCAGGAGGCACAAGTGTCTTGACGGCCTGCAGATGCTCACCGTACTGTAAGGAAGCCTTGGTTAAGGCAGTCAGCAGGCAGTTATTGCCCCATTAAGTATAAAGCCACACACACACACTTTATAACATAAACAGACATGCACAACGTCTACACTGTGTGCAAGCCGTGATAAGAACGGAAAATAAGTGTAAGGATGAAAGGATGAGTGAGCACAAGTAGACAATTGTGCCGTCTCTAACTAAGTCTCTTTATCTTAGGATGCATTCGCTCAACCGGAACAGAGCCCTGCTCCAGTGCTTGTTCCTTTGAGCACTGATACAGTTTCTTCAGCTCAAGTGTGTGTGACTGTTACGTCAAAATAGTAAAGCGGATATTCAAACTTTTAAGTGCAAACACAAAGAGATACAAACAATTATGTAGTATTGTGTCATATTCCACTTGTCACAAAATACAGAAAACTGCACCTTTATATTGTTTTAGCTTGCTCAAGTCTACAAAGTTTAAGCTTGTTTCTTTTTACACCATTTATAGTCTTATATTTATACATCAATGGATCATGCATAAAAAACATAGGATATGTGGGCGTGGGATCAAAATTTGGTGTTCAGAGTGTTCTGAGGCCATAACGCTGGAACCTTTGGGCAGTCATCTTACAACTGCCGGTAGTTTGCTCTAATTGTAGTTTTCATCAGATATTCAGATGGAACTCAAGCTAACATCTGCTACGTCATTGTTGATCGTGTCATCTTCTTCAAAAGAAGTCTTGTCTGGAAGACCTATATCTCTACCCGGTGACTTCACCAGAAATCCCTGTAAAGTTGGTCATAACTGCCCAATGATAGCAGATGGTTTCCCATATTGCTCTAGTTCAGATTTATTGCATAGTATCCAGTAAGGAGTGACAGAAAGAGCATGAGACAGAGCGTGGGGAGGACATGCAAGAATGGCTGTGAGCTGGATTCATCCTATCATCCCCTGACATAGTAAATACAGTACCTGCTATCTGCTTTAGCCTGCTGAGCCACTCTTACATTCCTGAGAGATCTGTGTGTGCGCTGAGGTGTGTAATGTTGAGTTGCATGTTTGAGTGGACCTCAGGCTCATTGCACTGTGACCCAGGCTTTGTTAGCAGCGCTCCTCTCGGACATTTGAGCCTGCAGGCAGCTGAGCAGCATGTAGGCCAGCTTGCTGAAGCTACTTGTGTAGGTGTGTGTGTGGGACACACATCTGATTATTTCATAAAAGTCACATGTGCATGTGCAAGTGGTGCTGGGAGCTGGATAAGAATGTTATCCTCTTCAGGCACTTGCTTCTTTTAATATGAAATCTTCTATCATGCATGGCTCTTAAGGGCGAAATGGTATTCTACATTTTTGGATTTGTCACATGGCTTTTTTTAAACGTAGGTCTCATGGGTATTCTATTATTGCTGAAAAATGAATTATTTACCACACAGTAAAACAAAAAAAATCATCAGGTGTTTTAGAATGTGCTTTGTGTTTTGATTTGTCTGCAAAAAATGTTTGCAAATGGCCTTTAAAAGGAAGATGAAGTTGCAGGGTGAGTTGTCCACCTGCAATAAAGCTGGATTGAATTAAAAAACTACATGTTCTTATAATTCCAAGAAATGCCCTAGTACTAATGGTTTAGCAAGAGCTGAAACAAATTTCGAGAAATGTTCAGCATATTCAGAAATACTGCACTCTCAAAAGCAAATTCAAACATTCAGAACAAATAAAAAAAAACATAAATTGGGGCTATACAAGTAAATATTTCTTGATCGATAGAATGGCTGACACATGCTGCAATTTAAACAAACGTTCTGTAAAAAAGCCATAACAAATGCATTGACCCTAAAAAATAAATAAAAGCTACCGCACTCACATGTTTAATAATTTTATTGAACTTTTAAACCTATTAAAAAAAAAAAAAAATTGGGAGAAAGCAGAAATTCCCAGCTTTCCAGTGGTACCACAAATGTCTAATTCAAACAAACCAGTCTCTGCTGTCATCGTAGTAGCACTGATTTGTCAAGGAGATCCATGTTGTATCTTCCTCTGTCCTAACAGGCAGGGGTCCTAGGTGCTTAACTCCCACCACTGTGTCATCTATATCTGAATATTTTACACATCTATATCTTTATAGTCTACATATCCATAAATGTTTGACACATCTCCATCTGTAAAGAAATCTATGCATACTATAAATCAGTGTTTTTCAATTGGTGGGTCGGCGCCAATGTGTGCCCCAAAAAATACTATTGTCAAAAAGTTTATGAAGCACTTTATCATGTTTTTTTTGTTGTTTCTTTGTTCAGTCATGTTTTGTATTGTCTGAGGTCCAAACTGCAATTTTTCTTTGAACAAATCTGACTGGTTGTGATATATCTGCAATTCAGGTTGCGATCTTTCGTGAAGGAGTTGGTGGTGGGTCCTGAGGCTAGACCAGTTGAGAACCACTGCATAGATAACTGTCTGAATATGTTAAATCTCTATACTGTTGTGTTATAGAAATCTATTTCTGTATATTTTATGCATTCTTACTGTACATACATCCTGTCTTTTCATTTTAGTGCAGAGGATGGTGAGAGAGGGAATAGGCAAGCCACTGTCCCTATCAGCATGCCTCCCGCTGACACTGAGGCAGAAGCAGGTGTCAAGGAAGGCTGCCAGCAGAGAGAAAGGGCTGCACCATGCCCCTTTCACCATTCCAGCCCCCCTAACCAGGGGAGGCAGAGGAAGAAGAAGAAGAAGAGACTGGAGAAGACAGGGGGCAGAACACCTCATGCTCCAGAGGAGCAGGAATACATGAAAGGAGCATGGTGAGGGGAAGAAGTTTGTTTGGGAAGAAATGAAGCCTGTAACATTCCTGGCATATGTGGGCCTTATGATTTATATGGCTATTCTGAAGCTACCAAGGGTGAGAGATTACTGGAGATAGAAAGAGATCACACCTAAGTGTGCACTTTCCTGCCTAGGTCATAACCAGAGACAGGTACGTACATGGCAATACTTAGAATTGTGCAAATGAGCAACACAGAAGAAGATGCAGAAAACAACAGCAAACACATTACCAAAAGAAAGGCATGCAAGGCCTTGTGGAAGCCTAGAAAGAGAGAAAGAATGGTGGCCACAAAAGCCAAAATTGGCAGTGCATGAAGGCAAAGCCAAATGAGTGGGGTGTAATGCTTTTTGCATTTGCAGACTCTAACAACAGGTACACTTCTCCATTTACAATGAAAAGAACAGATTTATTTCTGAAAAACGACTTTCACAAGACGTTGTCAGCAGCCTCGTAGATGCAACATTCTTTGGAAGAGGTTATCGTCTACTATATCAATAATTTCTACACCAACCCAACGCTCTTCAGTGACTTGTACGGTAAGGGTTTCATTGCCTGTGGTAAGTTCCGCGATTAACTCAACGTACCTCAAACTAAAACGAACTCCCTGACAGCTAAGAGCCCAAGGGGATCAATCCGGTTAGTTAAAGAGCAGGATCACTCTTGTTTGGAAAATTGATGGACAATTCCCCAAAGGCATCAAGAGGAGCACAGTGCCAACTGTGTCACTGGCCATTGCTGTTGATGATCTGCATACACTGCAGTGTGCTCTGCAAGTAGCGCTCCATTTGAAAGTGTGGGCAAAGTGATGTTGCATCCCAAGGATAATGTTGTAATAAAGGGCTTTAACTTGCTGAGGAAAGATCTGATGTGAATAAAACGCATAATGGGACTCTACAACACCAAAGTACAACTTTCTAAAAAATACTCAAATTTAGAATTAGCATTTTTTTTAAATATTCTGATAGAGTCATATTCTGAGACCATGCCAATGTCAAATTGGGTATTTAAATGAGCATAACTTAAACGTGAGATTGTCCTTTTTAAAAGGATGTATGACATTTGATGGTGTCTGCTAGAAAATGTTTTTTAAAAAAAAATGTGGAACACTCCAAATTCCAAACGTTAGAGAGAGCTGCCCCCGCCCATTCCCCCTAGACTCTATGCATACGCAGTTTGCCATGTCATGGACACTGAAGCTTCAGTGTTTAGCCAGCTCTGCATCAGTCTTGAAACTTGTGTTCAATCCTCTCTCCATTTATCAAAAACATCTCCAATATTGATCCTAGTCTTACCATGTTTTTTGGTCGTTGAACTTAGTAGAAAATGCAGAGGCTTTTTAGGTCAGGTAGAATGAGATTGTTGTACAGGTGAGATGTTGTTTCTGCTTGGCCTTTTCCAGCCTGTCGCACCTCCTACGGTGCCATTTGGTCAGCTGCAGGGTCGTCAGCTGGAAGCCGCCGTTCACTTATGTTTTGCCCCCTAAGCCAGTACATGTCCTGGTGGGGGGGCAGTGACTTGTTGGGGATGTCTCCCCGTCACCCCCTGCAGCTGCCTCTATCGGGGTGTTAGCCCCCAATTGATGTCCTTCCGCCAGAGCCAAAGCCAGTAGCTGGCTTTTTCTGCTTCTTCTCCTAACTCCGTCAATACTTTGCGCAGGTTCGATCCCGTGGTGCCAGAACCTCAGAAGTTGGACAACCACACTGCTGATCCGACCTCCACAGGATACCCCCTAGCCTTCCAGCCTGCCTCGCGGCACTCCGCTGCTAGCTCGGAGTACTTCAGCTGTTTCCTTTCATGGGCTGCTGTCATGCCATACTCCCAGGGGATGGTAAACTCAATGATGAGGACCCTTTTCTCCTCAGTGGACCACACTACGATGTCGGGCCAGAGAGTAGTTATTGTGATCTCTCTTGGGAAGATCAGCTGCTTTCTGAAGTCTACCATCATCTGCCATTCTTTGCCAGGTCTAAGTATGGTGTTCCTGACGTTCCGAGGTGCTTGGAGAGCGTTGCCTGGCTTGACTAATGCAGTTAAGGTAGATTTTCATGTTTCTGGACTACAGTTTGCTGCTAAATTTTAATGCCTGCTGTGCCCTGGCTGAATTTCATCACACAATCTTTTTATTTTCATTCTAAAAGCCATTTTGTTTCTATTGTATGTCTTCATTAAAAATAAAATGTATAATAATCTCACTTAAATAAATTAGAGAAATATAATTGAACCACAGTAATCTGAATAATAGAAATCCTTTATGGTCAAACAATTGTACAACCAAATTAGTAATGCTTCACCTTAAAAGTGCAAAGACATCCAGGCATCCACAGTGTGAAACAACTTGCATTCAAGTAAGAGAGACAATGTAACTTCAAAACAAACAAAGAAACACAAAAAATAAATAAATAAATAAATCAGCCAAATGAAGAAGCTTGCCACAGATTAAAAATATAAATATATATCACAGTCTCTTAAATGTAAATATTGCAAAAGGTAAGAAAATATGTAAACTAACAAATATGGATTGTAAAAGAGAAAAAGCATAATGTAAAACAAACAAAACAAATGTATAAATAAAATATAGATGTGGGTGTTGCTATGGGGATGCTTAGGCTATTTTAGGAGTAGCTTATGTTGAACAACAAGGTACCGGACGCAAGTGCAGATAACCAGAAATATTTAATTGAACAAAAAAAGGCAAAAACAAAAGCTGGAAAATCTAAAAAAGGTAATAAAACAAAAGAAGCCATGAGTAAAAAACCCAAACTGATGTGATTAACTGACAGAACGGAAGGATTACTGAGACTAAATAGACACTGGGGTAATCAGACACAGGTAAGACAAGTGGCACAGGTGAAGACAATCAGGGCAATCGAAACACCGTTCACCCGATGCCTGGACTTACAACCAGCCCTCCTAGTATCTTCCGGAAAAAAAATAAAAAAATAAAAAATAAAAATGGGGCCCACGCTGTCTCACTACTTTGCTCTTCTCTTCCTTTCAACACATGTTCCACAACATTATCTGATTGCAGCCCAGGGATTGCCACTGTGTGCTTCTGGGGCTGTAGGAATAAACAGTTGCGTTCAATAACAGGCCCAGCACATCAATATGTGATGTAAAATGATTAAAAATGCAAAGTCAACTCACTGAAATGGTAAAAGTCAGAATGAAAACAAAACAACCCTGCATACGCGTGTCAAGCAGCGGTTGAAGTGGGCGGTGAATAAGCTGTATATTTCATTGACGTGTTTTAATTAAACTTTACAGTGGATAATGTGCATCTCCTCGCTTTCCTACATAGAATATATGACCTCTCTTTATACATGTAGAATTAGAAAAATCTGAAGCACACACATTTGTTTGCTTAATCGTAGCTAATCCCGATGTATTATGAATACAAAGTCACTGTTGTTTTTGTTGAGACTGGAGTTCAGCATGGATGTTGAGAATCAAAGTAACACATTAAGGTAAGACATATTAGCAATGATATAGCTTTTCTATTATGGTATGGGGCATTTCATAATGCTCTCTAGGCTATATCACTGTAAAAAACTAATGTCACTTACACTAAATGTCTGGTGCTTGACAAGAATTCAAGGAAATTCTGGCAAAGGGAATATATTATGCAGTATTCAAATTTGATTAATGCTCTCCACTTCATAGTCCTTTTTCGACAGGAGAGGAGGGATTGGGATTGGGATTGGGATTGGGATGCAGGTGTGGGCAGACAGACAGACAGACAGACAGACAGACAGACAGACAGACAGACAGACAACTTGCAAAACCACAGGGAGAACCTCTCACTACCTCTGAAGGTAAGATAATGAGTCAGCACAGAGCACTGGAGACTCAGAGTATATAAAAGCTCCCCACACCTGAGGTTAATCAAAGCCAATCAGTGCCACACACACCTGAATGCAGTGAGTTGATTCTCTCACCACTCTCACTGAGCAGGAAGAGTGAGTGCCCTCGTATTTTCTTGTTTACAATGATATAATTTACCACACAGATCTTGCGCATTTTCACTTTAATTTGTGCTATAATGATCTTTTGTTTTCTATGGTAAAACTTTTTTAATTTCTTCTATTTTTCCAACAAGAACACTTTTCCAAATTGCTTATGTGCCCTCTTAAATCATTATGTGCCCTCCTAAATCAAACTAACCTCCCTTTTAATGGCAATAAATCTTTATGTCTTCCCTTTTTCCTACTAAAAAAACGTTATGAAACACTAAAGTAACTCATTTATCTGTATTTTTCCCTTGGCTGGGAACATCATGCTTGCAGGCCTACCACGTACCCATCGGTTTCTTAATCTGTTCAAAGAATTGATGTAGTAGACACTTCATATACACCATATTATTAAATAACCTTTAAAAAATTACCTTAATTAACATACTATAATTTATACTACAGAAGACAGATAATTAGTTGTGCATATTTTAGGTTGCTAAAAATAACTGTTGCATGTTGACAGAAAGTAATTAAGAGGAAAAAAACAATACACATTTTATGAAAAGACAAACTCATTATCAGTGTTTATTTTCAGCAGCAGCTGTCTACACACATCAATGTGAGAGAGATTTCTGAAAATTATCCAAATATTAAAGAGGAAACTGGATATTCCAAGAGATGTGTAAGTTTCATACAGGCTGTACTTGACTTTGACTTTGAATAATTCCCAACATTATTGATGATACAGTGTCATCCCTTTGCTACAGCAGTTTCACTAAAAGTCCCAGCTGAAGGTCCACGAGGGATGGTCTCAATGTCAAGAAATGAAAACGGGAATAATTCATGTCAAGGCGCTCCATCACAGAAGTGGGAGGGATGAATAAAGCAGCACACTGAGCCCTGCTCACTTATGGCCAAGGACGAGTCCTCAAACTGTTGGAGCAGCTGAAGCTGCCACCTTGAGCCAGCTCCTGTTTTAAACTGTTGTCTAACAACTTTAACAGTGTTTCATTAGGAGGAGGACAAATGGAACAGAGTCTTATCCTCCCACCACCATTACATGTGTGTGCATCATAACCATTTATATATATAAAAAAATCTCAGAACTACAAATGACTAATAGTTATAAACACATTCCACATTATGTATGTGCAGTCCAAAAACTAACATTATCTTTATTTCCTTGTTTCAGACTCTTCAAACTTTAGCAGGTCTACCGTTCTATATTTTACTATTGAGCACTAGATTTGCATAAGAATGGCTAAGTAATAATATTCATTATAAAAATCATTAGGCATTGTACGCTAAAAAATAAATAAACACAAAATGAAGATCCCCACCACACTCGCAAATAATTTTATTTTTAGAAGAAAGATTCATGAAAAGTAAAAAGAAAGACTCTGAAGTCTAGAAACTTTGATCTGAATCTTTATTTCTATTGCGCAAATTCATAACGGATGTCATCCCAAGGCACTTTACTAAAAGAGCAGGTCTAGACTGTATTCTTTGTTATATTATTTACAGAGACTGAATATTAAACCACCATAATTAAAGCACTTTACAACAGTTGACCAGTGGCGCGAGTCCCACTGGCTGTGTTGTTGTCAGAGCCGTGCTTACATCATGTTAACATGGACAGGACGGCCTTGCGTATAAAGCTGTTTTAGTCAAGGACTAGAGAAGAGAAGACTAACATAGCCCTACTCACTGCTTATTTGGATATCACTTAAGTGTCTTTAGATCACGATCATTCCGTGTCAATTCATGTTCAAAGTGAAACTGTGAGTTAACTAAAGACACTGACATTAGCCTGCTAACACAACAATGCAGACCACAGGCAATTGCAGCTCCAACAAAGGACAATTTTGTCTACCACTTACACTTATCGGTGCTTAATTATGGTGCGTTCCAATTGATAACGCCTTCGTGTGAATGTGATTGGAGGGGGGATGGAGGTGTGACGCTGGAGGAGAGAGGAGGCTTTAGAATAGCGGAGGTGTCGCCAAACAACAGTTTGTTTAATGTGGGTGCCCAAGGGCGACATCTACTGGATCCAAAACTCGCACACTCTTGCTTTAACGGGCAGAAACCTTGAGCTGAGAAACAACAACGAAGACATCAACAACCACAGCAAATAAAACAGATTAATGGCTACATTGACAGGAACAATGGTAAAAGTTTGTTCGGTATTAGGAAGAGCAAGGGATATGATAAAATATATGCCTACTGGGTGTGCTGCCTTTTTTAAGAAACTTGTAATTATTCACATAACATTTATTTAGCTTACACTTCCATCCAAAGTGGTTTAAGAGAAACTGCATTCGACCACATTTATACAGCTTATAGTGTCATGTTGCTTAAACAATTACAAGGAAGAGGACTGAATTGCAGATCTCAAAAATAACTTTTGAAACAAAAAGACCAAAAGGTAAAACAAGAGCTTATTCCTTTACAGAGTCCAGGTAAACTTGGTGGAAAAAATACACATAATAGATACAGGAAACACTTTGAAATTATACAAGAACAAATAACGACACATACAATAGCTTCAATGTGAATAACGTCAGGCGCAAATGTGGAAAAAAATGAAAGGTCCAAAACGTGTTTTAACACTAATTTAAAAAAAGGAAAAAAGAAATTGAATTGTTAAAGAAATTAATTTAGTACCAAAAAGACCAGAATTACGTTAAAAATATTTTCTTATCTGGAAGATTAAAGCTTTCAAATAGACAATCCAGGTCGAGCCCACATGCTTGTTTTCATGACCAAATTCGATTTCTGCGCAGGACCTTGTGGGTGTGACTCTAATGATTGACTGCCCCATCTCCATGGCATAACTTACACCTTGAACTTCATCTTTAAATTTACACCTCCGTCT